GCTCTCTCTTTTTGTCTCTCTCTCTCTCTCTCTCTCTGAAGGAGTGCTATCTGTTTGTCAGACTGAAGTTGGACGAATGGAATAGGCGCGTCTTTGCGCGCCGTGAAATGATGTTGCGCCTGGCACTCGAGGGTAAGAAAAACCACAGAGCACACTCGACACCCCCTACTCCTCCCCGAGCACACAAAGCTTCAGTACTCAACATGCCCCAACAAATAACATAAAAAAAAATAAAAAGCTTGATGATAAGATAACAGTCCTTATGGGGGGCACTAAACATTGCTATTCCTCGAGTGCTTTAAAACCTGTTCAGCAAATTTCTCTCAATTCTGTCAGTGTTTGCGCCTCAGACAGCCAGTTTCTACAGACATGATGTATCCGAACGATTTGATCTATATATTTATATTGGTGCTCTTGGTGACTGTTGTAAGTTCCTTTAAATGTATCTTTCGAGTTGCCCAAAGCTCTAACACTCTGTCAATAGTTGTGCTTTAGGAGCATACGCAACAACAAACACATGGAGGAGGAGTGCGACAGCGATTCGTTGGAACGCTCTGGGCGGGCCTCCAGTTCGACGGGTGCGTACTAGCCAAAGGTCTAAATTCCGTACATGTGTTTTACAATTGTCACCCCTTCCTCCACCTCCGTCTACCCTTCGTCCATCCATTTGGCATAAGCTGATAATATGACTAAATACAAATATATACAACATATTATTAATCACGCACACACCATTTTTGCCCCACGATGATAAGACCAAGTCTTATTTTATCGATCGTTACCTGCCCAGTTCCATTTGTGGTCGTATTTGCCATTATAAAATAGCTACTTGCCCGTGTCGAACAGAAATCGTTGTCAATTCACAGTTCCGTTACCAAAATGCCCGCCGATGTCACACTCTACATAGTATACTTCATATTGGTTGTCATTTTGTGTATTTTGGTGCGCGTAAGTTTCGCCGGTTTCCGTTTTTCCGCCGTGAGTGTGTCTTTTCTACTAATCTTATGCGATTCTTGCAGCTGTGTTGTGTCTGCGCCATGCGCAAGCCAGTTGTCGATCAGCCCCCGCTGCCCATGTCACAGTCACAGCGTGGGCGTGGCCCGCCAAGGGTGCTGCGCCAAATACGCATCGATCCATCCGGCACGACCACCGAAGTGGTCGCAGGTGAGCGCGAGAGATATACACCGTGAATTGAACCTTGTCGATAAGAGGCTTATTCCAGAGCTCTCTCATAATTCGCAGCAAATTATCGCGATGTGATAACAATAATCCCCCCCCCCCCCCCCCCCCCCCCCCCCCCCCCACCCCCCACTGCATTGAATCAGTTAAAGTGCCTAATTTGGGCTTCGAGATAGGGTTTGTTGTTTGAGCTTCCTCAAATTTGTTTAGGCATGAGCGAAAATGAAATACGCCGTGCAACTTGTTGATGGCTTCATTTCAATTTGTTTTGTTCACGTCAGACTGTGCTATCAGCGTTGTGCAAAGATTTCACTATTATAATCTGAGATAACATACCTATTTAAAGAAAACGAGGGCAAATTCTGAGTATAAAATGTGCATATATCACATATCAAATTGTAGAACTAATTGAATTCAACATTAAATAGAGTGAATTATTGCAAATTCAGAATACCGTGAGGTTTAATTAAATTGGAGCACGTGGAATAGAGCACTTACGAAACAAAAAGTGGATTATGATGCAGCCAAATGTAAAGTGTCTTTCAAACTGGTCCGATTGGAACTTGAACGGGGATTCAGGCATTCGTAGTCCAAGTGAAATGGGAACAATAATATGCATTGATTCTGATTAGGCCAACGAATTACCTGTTATGTATAATTCTTAAGAGATTAATCAAAATAATATCTTGAGGCTTAATTAAATTGGAGCAAGTGGAATATAACACTTACGAAACATTTTTCTAAGAGGTTCAATAAAAAGCGGATTGTAATTTAGCCATATGTAAATAAAGTGTCTATTAAGCTGGTCCGATTGGAACTGGAACGGGCATTCAGGCATATGCCTTGTTTCTGATTAGGACAACGAATTACGTTTTATGTGGAAAATAAACACTAATAATTATTCAATACTTGTTAAAGGCTTAAAAATCTTTAAAATTGTTTCGAGTAGCTTTGTTGTTTATCTTCGTTTAAGAAATTATCGACAGCTTGGCTACTTATTGGCCACCTTTTCGAGTGTTCCAATTGGAATTCGAACACTTACCGACCAATTGAATGGAATTATTATTCTTAAGGAAGCGCTTAAGCAGCTGCTATCTATATATTTATTGCTTTGACATTGAAATACCTCGATTCCCAAGCACATTTCAAATTTGTGGAGCATGTGAGAAATGTTTTGCCCGCCTTTGTGGCATAATTGTTTCAAGCTACCCGCTTAAGTAGCTTGTTTAGGCCAAGTCCGCAATAGATTTATGTGCGTCTTTGTTGTGGCTTGGCTTAATTGCGCTTGTGTAACAATAAATTAGCCCGTGTCTCGCACAATATTAATTCACACACTGAGAATTAATTTACTTGAATGCTTCCGCGCTTTTTGGGATTTCAAGTTCTTGTTTGTCTTTACTTTGACGAGCTCTTAATTTATGGGTGTCCATATATGTGGGCTATTCTTAGGCGGTTTACCGCCCATGACTGTCTGCAAGTTAATGCATGAAATTTCCACACATGGCACGCAATGATGCAAATCTTATCTTATCACGCTCAACCTAGTCTTATCAGGCGATGCGATGAGCGAACCTGCCACCTGCCACCTGATAAGTTGCTCCAAAAAGCTCGCAGCATGAAAATCCAAACAGTTGGCCATCGGCTTCTGCGCAGAGTGATGCGATCCGATCGTGTCTGGGCGAACTGACGCGCAAATCAATTCTTCGATTTCCGGAGCTCTCGAAATACTCAATATTTAAATGTGAAAATGTTGGATCTTATGTCCATATTCTCGGGCGTTTTTCTGCTCTTCCTCTCCTGCGCGATTTGTTGTTGTTGCCTGCGTTTCGCTGTCTGGGCCTGCTACGAATTGTGGCAGCCACGCGAAGGTATGTAAATGAAAGGATCTCCTTTATGTATATATTAACTAATCTAATCTGTGTTTTATTTACTCTTGACTCTGATAACCATAACCATTTCCTTTAATTGGCTCTTGGCAAAAAATATTATTGAACTGCTTAGCCCATATATATGTTAGTTTCCCCTGATAAGATATTCCCGGCGTTTGTAGAGCAATTTATTCAGTGCTCTCCGACTTTTCAAAGCCAACGGATTTCATACGCTGCGGGCTTAGACACAATGGCTGAAATTTTAATGTTTTATTTTTTTCTATTCTTTATAATGCTTGTCGCCCTGCCCATCGTATATTTCTGCATACAGGTAATTGGTGCAAACTGTTGGCAGTTTGTTCTATTTAACTCTGAATTCTTCTACTTATTTTAAAGTATTTGGTTTGGATTATATTATTCAAGTGCTGTCGCACTCCAGCTGAATCTCCGCCCAATAATCGGGATATCCAGCTACGTGTTCGGGCGCAACGTTCGCTTGGTATGTACAACAAAAAAAAAAAAAACAAAATAAAATTGATATGCAGACAATTGGCTGGTTGATTTTACTTAGACCTCGTATATGTACTATGCGCCGCTTCAAGTGTATCTGATAAGGCGCTCAGGTAGCCTGGCACCCATCAGAGGTGAACACTTTTGATAAGCGCACTTGATTTTTAGTCTTCTGCGGAGCTTGTTGCAATTGGGAAGTATGGAAACGGGTCCAATTTTCTACTTCATAATACTTTTGCTGATAGGCCTAACATCTTATGTAGTGCTGCAGGTGAAAAAAACACAATTGTTTCACACACACTCAGAGTAAATCGATTCTCTTTTCCTGATAGTGCGCGATTATCTGGATTCTCAGATGCTGTTGTCCTGCCGGCGCCAATGCCAGCAGACCCCAAAGTAAGTCGCGTTTAGCTGCACCAACTATGTATTGGTGTCTGTGTTAGTATTAGTGTGCTTTCGGCTAAAGAGCTTTGCGTGTGATCTGAGCTTTTGTGGCATCGGCGTGCGTGTGTCGTGTAGGTGAGCAGCCTTTAACACATGACTGCCATATACACTATATGAAAGGCTTTTGGCTTAGCAACTTTGTTTATCGTGTTGTGTGCACATAATCTTATCGCTTAAATAGAACAACTAACTACGCATACTTATAACAATAGTACATAACGTCATCCATGTATATTGGCTCTTTGATTAGTTCCCGGCGTACTGTTGCCTGTTTCGGGCGTGCAATGAGTATGCGCCGGTTTCCGGCACTTGTTTCTTCTGTCTCAAATCCAAATTCGAATCGGCCATGAACTGGTGCACACAGTTTGGCCTCCATGTGGCCGTCTATTTGGCGCTGGTCTTCTTCTTCTTCTGCTGTCTGCCCATCGTTTGCTACTATGTGCGCATCGAGAATCGTACCCTGGCAAAGATTTGTCCGCCGCGCTGCCAACGTCGGCAAAGACAAATCAATCGCAGTCGAAATGGTAACGTGTGCCAAATATGAGGGCGGGGCTTATCTAATCGCTGGCCATTCAGCACTCAGCACCATTGAGTAGCCTATTATTATTGTTATTTGACGATCAACTTATTATATTTGGCAATAACAACCGAGTCGAGTTTGGTTCCGAACGTAGAATGACTTTGACATCCAATTTGTTGGTGGCGGCGGGCTTCCTGTTCGCCATATTCATCGTAAGCCAGCTGATCTTTGTACGTAATTATAGTGCCCAGTCATTATTATGTGCAGATCTCAGTGTTCGAGTCATTGTCTTAATGGTTTGTTCTGTTTGTTCGTTTCGTTAGCTGGCCATGCGCATGCACCAATCCACAGTGTTGAATCGACAAAGGCAACGCCAGCGCCAACGGCTCGGTATACGAATTGTTCATTCAACAATCTTGATCTATTTATAGATGGATCGTAGATAATGCTAATATATGCCTCTAATGCTTATCTTGCAGATCGCCAGAACAATGTGGAGCTGGGACGCCAGCACAACCGCTTTGGCGACATTTTCTATATCGAGCCCAACAGCCAGGAAGCGGCACGCATACGCGAACAGCTGGAAAAGGATGACAAGGAGCTGCCCAGCTATGATGAAGTGATGCGTATGTGCAATTTGACAACGCCCACGGCCGCTGCAGCTCTGCCAACGCCAACTATGGAGTCCAGTGCCATTGGCATTGCTGCATTGCCGGCTCCGCCGTATTCGGAGTGTGATCCGCATCTAACCGTAGAGATACCAGCAGCCACAAATGCCGTCACGGCCAGCTCGTTGGAACCTTCACCGTCCACTTCGCGTGCCGCTCAAATCCCAACGTAGCAATGGTACAGCTGATCCACTTGCACGCCACATCCAGCACACACACACACACACACATGCCCACGTGCTAGTGTGAAAATCTTTGGATGAAGCTGTCGTCACAGCATTCCAGTGCCACTCTGGGCCACACAAATCTCCAGTTTGTGTGCGCTTCTATATTGAGAAATAAAAGTGTGATTTTATAAAGTATACCTAAGTTTTAGACCGTAGGTTTTCGATAATTGTATATATTTATAAATTTAAGGTGCAATAAATTAATTAAGGAAAATTTATTTAGTCTATTTTATTCTTGCCTCGGCTGGTACATTAATGTTGGCAAATCGTAATAAAACTGTTGATTTAAACTTTACAGAAATCATTTCATAATAAAAAAAAAGTATATATATTTAAAGATTTGACTATGATAAACCCATACTAAAATTAACTAAATTGAACTAAGCCAAGTACATAATATGGCCAGAACAGAATTGAATCATTTTTAAATACTGAATACCAAGAAGTCTATTTATTTACTTTAAATAATATAAGTATTTAATTGATTTAAGCATTTTAAACTATTTGGAAATATTAATGTGCCTACGCCTGGTAAATTCATTTTCAAAAATAAGTTAATTCATTAAGTTAAATATCGATATAAACTGCAAGTCGAATTTGAGCTAACCGCCGATTACAAATATCGATATTTTCTATCGCTTTTGCATCCATCTATGTATGTATATCGATAGTTTATCAACCATTACTTGTGTTTTTTGGTTGACTACTTATAAACAACGCAATGGACTCAACTAAGGTAAAATAAATTGTGAAATGGGCGAATTTAACACTAAGTAACTCCACCATCTAGATTGAGTTTGCAGTGGAAATGCGCAAACACGACAAATCGTGCGTAGACAGCCTGCGGCGTGCTCTGGAGGGCATGGGTCAAGTTGACATTGATCCGGCCGAGGGACGCGTAATTGTGCAGACAACAGTGCCATGGTCAGAAGTTCAGGACAAAATCGAAAGCACCGGTCGCCGGGCTGTTCTCTCCGGCTTTGGAGGACAATCAGCGGTGGCGCTTATCAATACAACCGGCTGTGTCGTTGACAGGACTCCCGTACAGGGCGCAGTGCGTTTCACCACAATTGCTGCGCAGCATGCTGGCGTAGTTGTTGATGGAGTGGTGGATGGATTAGCGCCGGGACTCCATGGCTTTCACATACACGAAAGCGGCGATGTGTCCAAAGGCTGTGCATCAGTTGGCGAGCATTATAATCCGCGTAATTCGCCACATGGAAGCCCAGACGCAAGCACAGCCAAGCGACATGCCGGCGACTTGGGCAACATACGTGCCGACGAAACTGGCCGTGCCACATTCCGTTTTGTTGATCCAGCCCTGGAAATTTGGGACATAATTGGACGGGCTGTTGTCATAACAGCCAATGCGGATGACATGGGACGCGGTGGCAACACGCAAAGTCTAATCGACGGCAATTCCGGTGACAGGTAAGTGTATATTTGCTAAGTCTTATGAGATGCATAATTTGGACCGCTTTTTAGAATTGCCTGCGGCATAATTGCCCGCTCGGCTGGCATTTTGCAGAACTTCAAGAGAATTTGTGCCTGCGACGGTGTAACGCTTTGGGATGAGCGCAATAAACCGCTGGCGGGCAAAGGACGTTCTACAAAACTGTAAATATAATACTTTATTGTTTGTGAAATGTGCTTAAATATATATGTATAGATACTATCTAGAATTATTTAACATTTTTTTGCTTGTTGGCAGCTTTTAAACGTGCCAAATGCGCTTTGCATTTGGTTTTGTAGGACTGCACGAGTTTGCCACCAGGCGAAATGGCAATCGCTGCATGAATCTGTGGAAAAAGAACCCCATTAATATGTATTTACAAGTTAGCCGCGCTTAACGCTTACCTCAACATAATCAATTTCTTGTTCGTAATGTATGGAATCTTCTAAAATATTTAAAACTACTTGAAATTGCTCAGAGCTCAGCACATAGGTCATTTCGCCAATGTTTTGCTTGTACCACTGAGCATAGTTATCCAAATTCTGTTGTATATTCATGGTTGTAGCTGCAGCAGCGCGTGCCGTCAGTAATAGATGCAACAAGGAGAGCTGACAGCCCAGACTAGCCACATGTTGCAGACGATTCTTAAGGTACTCTGTGAAAATTATAATCATATCAATATAATCTTATTGCAGGCAGCCAACCCGCTTACTTTTAATAAATGTAATTGTGTCTGCATTTCCGCTGCTGGCTATGGACTGCAGTAAAATTATATAAAATTTCCAATGCTTAAACATCGTGGAGGTAGATAGTTTAAATAGATGGGACAACGCTTCCTGTTGATGGCTGCCCAAGAGCTATAGAAAGGTTTGTTAATAAGATGACACAAATCTAAACATATATCATATATTTACTTTTCCTGTGATGTGTTTGACAAATATTAGTTCATCGACACCCTCATTAATCCAAGCGCTAAAGTGTTGAAATGCCAGACTCACATCGGCAGCCTCATGCAATTCCAACAGAATGTTCAAATGCATTTGCATGCACACATTGACCAATACATCATCTATAAAGATAATTGCCAGTCATTGAAAAGAAATGGAGTACTTTACATAAAGCCCACCTACCAGGTAAAGATTTACACAAATGCTCCACATAGTTTAAGTTGCCGATCTTTGGATTTTCAGCCAGAGCGCTAAAGAGATTCCTCAAAGCATTTTCGAGTATATTGTTCAGTCTTAGCATGTTTAACGAATCTAAAAGCAAAACCTGAATGTACTCTATTTACATACAAAATTGAAAGTCCAAATCACTTGCCATAATGAGCCGAAATGAATAGATTAGACAGCAGCTTATTTTCGTTTTGTAGAAACTCAATTAATATTACCTGCAGCTGCTCTTCATTCTCTATACTGTCAATCGTTAATTGGATGATATACATACATAATTGTTGATCCCTATTTCCCATTTGTTACCTGCATATGTATTCCGTGGCTGTCAGGATTCTAAGCTGTTGCAGCTGGCCCAGCACTCGAAAGCTGCCAACGCTCAATGGCAATTGACAGAAGTATTTGGCCAGCAAAAGCTGCTTAAATCAAAATTTGAGAATTATTCAAATATTTAAACTGTGCTAGCCAAGTGCTTACCTTTTCCTTTGCATTTAAGCATTTCAGCAGATCGACAAGATCCCAGGCGGCTCGTTGGTTCGTCTGGGCGTTGTCGCAGTGTTTTTGTAGCAGCTTTCAAAGAGAACAAATCAAATTATATTAAATGTAACTATATGCATATTGTTAATTTACCCTGCACGTAAATCCAAAGTTGCTGCTGACATTGAGATTTTGTTTCCTAATTCCCGCGAAAATTTCCAGCTGCAAAAGTGTGTACACACCAATGCGATTAAAAAATACCAAATAAGCCAAAGAGCTAATTTAGGCAGGTCTGTTAAATAAGTAACAAAAAAACGTTAATTTCAAAATTCACTTTATCTCTTCTATAATTATGAACGTTTTTGGTAGTGTATGTGCATCAATTTATGCCTTGACTGAACTGTCAAACGAAAGAGCATTGTTAAGCGATAGACAAAACACGACTAGAGCGGTTCGTGTTTATATTATATGGCTCATCAGATTATTGTTATGATATATAAAAAGCAATTAACTTAATTCATTTTGAGTGTATAAATAATAGATGTTCCTTATCGGGGACAACACTGAGTACAAAACATATTACTGACCATTCTTCATTCATGTACAACCCTAAAGGCCTATTATAGGCGATTTATTAAGGGTTCTATTGACACGGGTAAACACACAGACTTTGACTTTAAGGATGGAGAATCATGTCCACTTTCGAAAGGAAAATATTGGATTAAAAATGTTATATTTGACACAAAAGGTTTGGTCTATGTATTACCACGAGGTTTTATTAAAGCTGAGCTTAAAATTCTAAAAAGCAATAGATTTGTTGAAGGATTTTCGATAGTTGTAAGTATTGAAAATATTATATGATATTGAGGATCGAAATATGTATACAGAAAAACTAAATTCTTAGGATGATTAGATCTATATAGAATAGAATAGATTGAATAGAATATTAGAATAGTAGAGTCAATTGTTTCATTCACGCGAATTTGGCAGCCAAAGCAGGGAGCGCAAGGATTCAAAGCGCAAAACATGAAACGAAGCAAAACATTGGGCCAGAAAAGCCGGAAGCTCACAGGACGCGTGCGCCGTGCTTTCGTCAAGCTCATCAAAACGGAAAGCTTGGCAAACATGAGAGACAGCATAATAAAAAGCTTGTGTCCCAACAAAACTTTCCACAGTCTGTGACAGAATACAAGTGAGTTGAAACAGTTGAGAAAGAAAAAAAAAACATTAAATACGCAACATCAATTAAACAGTATTGTGAATAACACCAATTTGTTAACAATCAGTTGACACACTAAAAAGTATTTAGTTAACAGTTTGCACATACAAAAAAATACTAGATATATTCGCAGTCAACGTTTCTGCCCACGCACACGAGGTAAGTACACACTTTTGCAGAGCAAATGCATTCACTTCAAGGTTGTGTCATGTGTGTGCCCGTGTATGTGTGCCTGTGCCTGTGTCTGTGTGTGTGCTTTTCGATTTTTCGTACCGCTCTTAAATCGAAGACAATAAAAACGAACCCACGGGACCCCGAGATATGTGAGTGCTGCAAGGCTGCATACATATATATACGATATATATACATATGTATATATATGTATTTATCAGAGAATTGACTGTCGCCCCTGGCTAATTCATGGCCATTCACTGGCTGTTTACTCAATTAGATATCAGTTTTCTAGGGAACGGTGCCCAGCCCGTGTGGCATCTACACCCGACGCATTCAATTATTTGTTTGTTCGCCGCCTCGTTGCGGTTTCCCCTGCTGCGCTGCGTTAATTTCCCTTCAGTACGTGTGTCCTGTTCTGTTCTGACTCTGTCCCGCCCCATCCGCTTGCCCGGTGCTCCCACTCCCGCTGCGGATGACGCCATGCCGCAACTGAAACGTTCCATCATCATTCGACATGGACGCTCTGCCACATGCCCTCGCAGGACACTTGTTTGTCTATTTGCTTAATGGAGCCGCATGAGCTGCCGTCGCAAAAGAACAATGAAATTCCCGTATTATGTATCATTTTCCCAACTGCCCGGCCATTTCCTTTTTTTTCCGTTGGCCTTTAAGATGCCCGCAAATATCGCCGCCATTTAATTTTGGTTTGGCTTTAAAATATGCAAAGGCCATCAATTTGATTGCATGCAACAGTTGCCTCAATTTATTTTCTCGTGTTTTTTATGTATAAAAATATCATTTTGATTTTATGATCTGTACTTAAAAACATCTCCCTGCTTTTGAGACATCTTTCGCTTTTATATTTATGAGCAATGCAATTTATCTTGGCAGAGGGTTGGTTTTTTCTTTTAAATAATTGTTTTTTAAATAAGCGACTCTATGATTTGAATTTTCGAGAAAAACTGTTAGTAAAAACAGAAATTTCCTCACTTTTCCAGATATATTTAATCTTGAATTGAACATCTTTGCTTTAACTATTTCTATTGCTCAATAAAAATATTTGATTAATTTTTTTGGCAAATTAAAAGCTGCAAAAAACACATCTTTATATCCAACATTTACTATTAAACGCATTTTCTTATGCATTGCATTTACATTTTTTCGTAACAAAAGAAAATGCAGTTGAAGTGAAAATCAAGTTTTCCGTTTGGATAGGCATTCGTTCATTGAAAATTCAGTTGAGTGTAGGTTGTTATACGAGTGCATGTATGTTTTATTAGGCTGTCAAATGCAGCGAATTGAAACTGTGACCTAGTTTGGGGGTATTAATAGATTATACCACAGAGCGGGAGCGAGATGTAAAGTCAGAGCCCAAGGCAAACGTCGTGGCAAGTCAAAGTTCCAGGTGGCAGAGTCATGTCGACATGTCACACCGAAAGCAGTTACTATATAAGCTCAGGGTCAGGTCAGGTTGCTTACGGCACTTAACCGATATATGTATATATATCTATCTGTTGATATCCTGCTTCCTTGTTATTTATCGTACTCATCCATTTCAATTGACTTGACACTGAAAAAACAACTGAACTGCAGCGCAACTGAAACTGCGAGGACGAATCATTTATTAACTCAAATCGCAGCAGGCTGACGTGCCAGGACTCTGGCCCAGCACACCAACCTCTAGGCTTGGGCTTAACAATGCGTATCCAGAGCTTCACATTTACGCTGCGCTCTTATATCCCGCCACATGACAGGCTCTAGAATGGATTGTGACTTACTGCACATATCCTTTGCTGGCAAGCCTCGACTGGTTGGTGGCTTGGTCCTGGATACCTAAACAATGTTTTAACATAGGTCCATTGAGTTAGTTTCTATACAGATGCCTGGATTCTTAGATAAACCTATAATGTATTAATGCAGTTGGTCCATACGATCCCAACGCACCATGTCCTTTCTAAACATGCTACAATATGGCGATGTCCTTTTATTAATTTAAAAGGACATTTATAGTATAATCGCCTTGACCATTTTGAGGACAAGTCTAAATATCCTGCTAATTAAGAATATGTAATAATAAATGTCGAAAGGATGCCCTTCAAGGACAAAAAGACATATGTCTGTTTAGAAAGAAGGCCGTAGCTCGGCCGTATCCTTGTATAGTAGAGATTGTAAGGAGTCCTGAATCAAACGTATAGCATGGGCCAGGGCAATAATGCATCACGACTGAAATTTGACAAATCCCAGATTCTTAGACGACCCCAACTTTTTATGCAATTGGGTGGTATAATTCCTTGTGATTCTTGAGATGCAAGGATATGGCTGAGTTACACTACTGAAGCGCCATTATTTCCAAGCTCAAGAGTATGCAGCAAATCGATGTATCAATTAGCTTCAAAGCTTTTAATTGATATACCCCAAGGCATGCCGTAGAATATACTATTGCCATTTGTATTTAAAACAAAAATCCCTCTCAGAAATTTCCCCGCGCGTTGCCAACCAGATGGCTTTTAGTTGGATTCAATACAATTCCAATTGGTTTACTTAACCAGATTAATTCCCCTTTAATACTTATAAACCAGTTTGATATATTGTTTTATTTTTGAAGCACCTCATATATATTTTTGCATATGCAAACCATTCACAATTCACCTCGAATCAAAAAGTGTTAGGGTAAATAAATATATATTATTTAGGTGTGTGTGCTCGAGTATTTGTTATGTCAATACCAATTAGATTATGATTGCACGCAAATATTCCTTTTTTTCTTTCAATAAACACTCCCTGTGCAAACGTGGGTATACCTGAGGTACACCTGGCGATTGTTGTAGAAAGAGCTCGAGTATATTTATTCGGGCGCACCCTTTAAGCTGCTCTGTTTTAAAGGCCAGCATCAAGATGAGTTGCAGGCAGATAGCTGCTGCGTGGCAACAACCTGGGGCAAGAGACCAATTTGCAACTCACCGCAAAGGAAATGAGTTTTATCTCTTTCTTTCTGCATAATAATAACCAGGTCCACATAGAACAGCAGCAGGAGCGACAACAGCAGCTCCGAGATGAACGCTCTAAGCGTTAAGTGGCTTTTGTATAATCTGCATGACAATAAGGCATATGCCGAGCGGCGAGTGGGTGGGTGGGTGGTCCCCCTTTTGAAAAGCCAAGCGGGCGCGTGCCAAATTTGGCTACAACTTGTCGCGCACTAAAAAACTATAAACATAATCAGGTGTGTGTGTGTGTGTGTGTGTGTGTGTGTGTGTGTGTTTGTGTGTGTGTGTGTGTGTGTTGGCAAGGACATGTAGTGTGCGCTGTTTTAAGGCAAAAGGCAGTTGGGCCAAACGCAAGCAATTAATAAACATAAACACATGTGCCAGTTGCACGGGGCGTATGCGCAATGTGGCACGTGCCACATATAATGATGACACGTGTGCCACATGTGGGTGTATGTCTGTTTGTTGTTTGGCCTGTCAATTTGCGTATTTGCAACAGCAATTCACATTATTCGCCGATTTTGCCGCACGAAAAACCTTAACAAATTGATTAATTAAAAGCAGCAAAGCCATTATTTAATTGAAAAGCATGTGCAATAAGTTAATATATGAGTTAATATTTACCTATTTGATATTAATTAATTGCAGCTCTGCTTGGGTCTCTTCTGCGGCTTGCAGGTAAAATTCAATAATTTAATGAATAAACTAAAAATTTGTATATTTATTTTAATTTTTTAAATTTGCATGCAACTCAAAGACATAAATCTAAGTAAAAATCAAGCGTATTAAAATTGATAATATAAATTCCAAATAATTTGAGCTATACGCTGTAATTTTATGAGTTTAATTCTTACCTGTAATTGATGTGATAACTACATACATATTAAAATCTATTGTAATTTTTAACTTAATCTATCGCTCTTCATAAACGCTCTACCTATATATCTTTATCTCTTTCTCTCTCTTTACTCTCTCTCTCTCTCTCTCTCTCGCTCTCTCTCTCTCTTTTTTCCTGTGTCCTTCGATCACTCTCTTTGCATCAGTGTTGTTCAACTTGATATCGAAATTTCAAAAGAAAATCCCATCGCCGACCAATGCTCATTTAAAAAGCTAACTCAGAAAAAGCCCATACTTACCGTTGCATTTGGCAATTGGATTACTCAGAATTAAAAGCTGATAAGCCTTAAGCGAAATGGCGCCATTTAAACTCAAATTTCGCATGGGCAGCTCGCGAAGCACGAGTACATCGCAAGAGCATGATCCGGATCCGACAGTGAATGAGGCGCTTTTGGGCACACCGCAACAGGAACAGGAACAAACTCAGCAGCAGCAGCACCACCACCAACAACAACACCAGCATCAGGCAGTTGGTGCCAGTAGTTCCACAATTGATTCAGTTGATTGCAACAGTCTCGGTTCAATGAGCGAACGGAAGCTGCTGCTGCCTCCGAATCCAAGTAAAGCTGGCAACAATACCAACAGTTTACGTATGGGTAAGAACAGGCTAAAAAATACCAAAACTACTCAATCTTCATACAAACACACACCCTTACTCCCCCATTTTCTTAAATGTGATTTAACAGCATGCTGCATTAACGCAATGAAGCGTTTATTATTTACTTGACAATTTGGTTTATTTTGTTTGTTTGCAAATGCACAATGCATGGCACCTTAAAGCACAATTAGGCCCTGCTTACACTCAGAGTGATCCGTGTTTTAAGCTCTATTTGAATTGATATATTGAACAAATTAAACAATACAAAGAGTTATACATTTTCTCTATATCTTAGCTTCAGTCTCTAAGGCTTTAATTAGCGAACTCTATGTCATTTTCACGGCTCCGTTTTTTTCATTTGTTTCATATCCTCTGATCCATGTGAATTGTTTCGTTTCACCTGAAATGGCTACTGTGAAATATATATCCGATTTCTTATTCTATATTCCACTTTTGGAAATCTTACAACGCTCTAGGCCGCTTTAACGTGTAAGATCGACAACCAATTGAATGTGAATTTGAATGTAATCAATGTAACCATATTATATAATAAGATAATAAGCAACCCAGTGCAAGATGTCTGAAGTATCGATATCGGTAACGTTATCGATATTTAAACAAAAAAAAAAGAGGAAGAATAAAGGATTAATTCTTGAATCGAGCATGAATTATAAAAAGAAGCCAACGTCCGTTGATATTTCACAAACGTGTTTTTTTTTGGTCGCTCCACATTATTTTCACCTGCTTCCAGGGTATGGAATATATATATTTTGAGTGTATGCAGGGCTCAAAATTTGCATGAGAACCCCCCTCAACCCCCCGACCGCAGCAACAAAATCAATAAGAAATTTCAAGCAATTTGTATGCTAGTTTTTTTTCTAAACTCGAGATTATCTTGCAGGCTATGTCAACCCGAGTCGCACACCGTGCATCAGCGAAACGGCAACGGCAACGGATAGCAACAAGGTGCCTACCACACCGCCGCCCACCTATGAGTATGTGCTAGAAGAGGTAACTGGAATGGTTGATGGCCATGCCAAGACAGATACTGATTAGGTTTAACACACACACACAGAACACGCGCCTCTCGCAGCATCAACGGCAGCTGTCGTCGGAGAACAGTGCTACGCCCAATCAGAACAGTCGACGCAGCTCGGCGAATAGCTCGCGGCAGAGCGCTGCTCATCTGAGCGCCGCCCTGGAGCAGCTGACCCTAAATGACAGCAGCAATAGCAACAGTAACAGCGACAGCGACAGCAACGACATTTGCAACGATCCGGATTGCCAGCAGAACTACAACAACAGCGGTAACTGTGGCAGCCGCAACAACAACAACAACAGCAACAACAATAACAACCGCAGCAACAACAACAACGACGGCGAGCAACTGGAGCAACGGGAACAGCAGGTTCACCCGCACATCATCGAGGGCGTCACCGAGCTGGAACTGGAGCACAGCGAGAACGAGGAGTGCACGCTGAGCGTCAACGAGTTTCTATTGGAAACCGAAATGGCTGCTTCGCGTGCCAATAAGGATAATCTCTATGCCGCCTGCAGCGATGCCAGCGACGGGCAGCAGCCGTGCACGGATGCCGAATGCACGGAGTGTGGCGAGCAGGCCGCCTGCGGCAGCAGCCACCTTGGCATGGAATCCGAGGAGGATGGCGAGGAGCCAAGCACCAGCAACGCGGCGCGACACAATTTCTATGATCCGCTGCTAAATCGCTATGGCAGCGAGCGTAAGTCCAAATTCCATTGCATTTGCACAAATCTTACGCTCTTTTCACGCCCAGCTGGCTGCTCCAATGGCGCCGCATTGGGCAACAGCAGTGCACAATCCTGCAACGAGGCCTGCTGTGCATCGGGCTCTGGCTCCACTTCAGTTTCCTCGAGAAGCCGTCGTGGACGTCGACAGCAGCAGCAACAGCAGCAGGAGCAGAGCTGCCTGCTTACGCCGGAAATGATGAGCAACAAGACCTCCAAGGAGATCTACAAGGATCTGGCCAAGCAGTGGGGCATTACGTGCAAAATGTCCGAAAGCTGCCGCTGCATGGACTGTCAGAGCCATTACTTCGATTGCGATTACGATGATGTAAGCATTAAACACAAGAGAACAAACCTTAACATATATATCCTCCAAGGAGAACAGGGCTTACAGGAAACCACAAATTGACTTGGTCCTCTCTTCATCAAAAGACAACTATGTTTCTTTCGGCTATTTCATGCATAATGTTTTATAATCATTTAAATTTTTAAACTGAAGCTGAGATGCAAGTTCAAGTTTATTAACCTTTAGCTATGGCGAATTTCTATTTTTAAGCCAAGTCGGGCACGTCCATGGCCGAACAGAAAATCAAAACCGGTTTTTAGATGACCCATAATATCCTTGGTTAATACGATACCATGGATATAGTCCTATTGAACCTCAAACGAAAAATATGTATTTATGCTGTTTTCTTGCAGCCTTCCCCTCCTCCCTTTATGGTTCCTAGATGCCCGATATATTCTTGGTTTAACCATACCATTGATATAGTCCTGGTGAACCTAAATATCAACATTCGAGCAAAATTTGCTCGTAAATGGTCTAGAAATATGAATATGCTTTTCTTTCAGCCGCCCCGCCCCACCTCCCTTTTGGTTCCTAGATGACACATAATATCCTTGATCAATAAGATATCACTGATAGAGTCCTGGGGAACATATAGTTCCAAATCCCAACAAAATTCGCTTAAAAGCATTATCCACAATTAAATTAGGGTTTAAAAATGAACGGTCGTAAAATCCCCATTGCCCTGCCCAGCCCAGCCGTTGGGCTCACATTTTCAAAGCAAAATTCAGCTGAAATACCAGGCGAACAGAAACGGTCAGCAGGTAGCTGCACGAAAAATTTTTATTTAACAGTCCACTGTTAATTAGCAGCTGTTAATTAAAAGGCCACTGTAAACTAGCAGCTGCCGCTGTTAATTAACATACCACTGTTAAATAAGGGGGCGTTCGATTTGTAACGAAAATTTAGCAAAAATACCAGGCGAACAGAAATGATCAGCAGGTGGACGAACTAAAATTTTACGTGAATGAGCAAATTCATTGCATACCCAAACGGGGCGCGCGGTCGAGCAGCGAGCTGGGTGCCTAAATTTTGAACGAAAATTCGGCTGAAGTACCAGGCGAACAGAAATGCCCAGCAGGCAGCCGCACTAAAATTTTTTTGAATAAAAAATTGCATAGCATACCCACAGGCTGCAAATATATTCTTAACAGTCCTCTGTTAAATCAACGATCGCAAATATTAATGGCATACTTTTACTGTCGCTTTTAGCAGCAGCCACGAAATTCTGTTAAGCAAAAAAGCATACCGTTCCGGACCGGTATCCGTGCGCATTTTGCAGGGATTCGGTCCTTTAGGTTCACCAGGACTATATCAATGGTATGGTATGACCAAGGATATGTGGGTCGACTAGGTACCGTATCGCTGGGCGATGATGATGGCTGAATGAAGGGCATTCATATTTTTTGACTACTTCGGTCATTTCGGTTCGTTAGGACGTTATCTTCGGTAGGGTACACCCAAGGATAAATGGGTCATCTAGGAACCATTGGTGTTGCTTGTCTATTCGCCCGGATTTGGGTAGACATGTCACAAAAACGGCAAACGCTTGGTTTTCAAAAATTTTAAATAGCCATCTCACGGCCAATTAATTCGCGATCCCGCGTTGAACTCGTGGATTTGGCATTTAAACATATTAAAAATCGATGGGTTTAAAAAATTTCTTGACCACGAAACGATTCGCTTGTAAAGTCAACATTTTTGGATATGATACTTATCATTTTTATTTTTCTTTTGCAGAACGAACATCAGAAAACAGATGGCGGATTGGGAGCTGGCACGCCCATGTTTATCAGCGAGGTAATGCACGGTTCTGGCTGTCAGATATTGTAAAGGATACTCGTTTTTTCTTTTGGTTTTTGCATATGAAGAGATTGCTGAACAAATGCTATATGTAAATGCAAATTGTTTTACTAGAAAAGCCAAATGAAGAGCAAAAAACTTAGTTTACGCAACAGAATATGTTTGGCATTAAATTGGCGTTATTTGCACAAGCTGTTTGCGCAAGCTGTTTGCACAAAATGAAGTAGGAAGTTGCACCGTGTAGCCTATGCGAATTAGGCTGAAATATTCAAATTATACTGGATATGAGGCAAATGAAATTATTTATTTATAGCCACCAAAAAACGTAGACTTTGAAAATTATATTACAAATTCGTAATCCCATATTTTTGCCATTGAAAAAGTATTGGTGAACTTTTTTTGAGAAGTTTTTGAATCGGATCTTTAACTAAATGCATTTTTTTTTCTAAGGATTTGCGATTTGCGAATTGATAAAAAAAAAAGAACATTTCAAAACCCACCTTGCAAGAATATCCTTAAATGTGTTCCATTTTAGAACCCAAATTTGTGCAGAGCCTGCAACCATTCATAAGAAATATATATTTGATTTGCGGCACTATTGATAAACTGTCAAAAACCTTTAACTGCAGTAGTTGTAAGCCCCATGATATCATCCCCTACAATATGCGAGCTTGTCAGCAGTTTGTCGAAATGGTCAAATTATAAAGTAGAGGCGGCTTTCTAGAAAAGAAAAAAGAGAAGTTTGTAAGTATTTTTCTATATGAAGAATTATATGTGTAGCTGGCAAAACGTTAGAAATGCAAAATAGGCAAGTGCAGGAGGCATTCCCGTGCCCTAGAATATAGGCATAATACGTACCCACACACAATTATTATTATTAATTATTATTCTGATCAAGAAAAACTTAAAAGTAATTTAAGCAAAACAACGATGCGAACAGTTGGCACTTTTGTGCCGGGCAGAGAATGGAGTGGAATTATGGATACCAAAAAGGATGATACTACAATTCTAGCCTTATCGAGGCGAAACAAAGTTAACTTTTATTACAAATATGCTGATATTTTTAAAACGAAACGCAAATATTTAGTCTGATATTTTCCAAATGGATTTCATCATATTTCGCTATATATACATATATATATATGGTATATATATATTATTGATTTTGTTAAAGCAGCGAGTCACAGAGCAAAGGCATTTAGAATCCGAATCCCAGGCACCTTAACTATGTTCCGTACTATCTAAGCAAGCGGGTTTCATTCGCCAACGAGGCAAATAAACTCAGAATCTAAACTCAACACTAAAAACCAATTGTACTTGCATTAAATCGCGCCGAGATCGAATCCCTATATATATATATATATGTGTGGTATATATGGGGTATATACATACATCTAACTCAAAAAGTATTTGTTTGTACTCGTAAATAAATATGAAAAAAGAAAAATGACTAAGTCTGTTAGCCGTTAGTTGATATTAATTAGTAAATATTTTGCTTATGTATCAATCGAACTAGACGAAATTAAAGATTCAAAAATATATTATAAAAAACAATTTAAACATGATTACAATCATTTTACACATTCCTCCAATTTGGTCAGGGAATGCCAGAATATCTGAAAATAATTAGATTTTGAATAATAAAATAGAAAATAAACAACAAAATATACTATACTACAATATATAAATATTACTCCACATTGTGGAGCTTGCTGTCATTATCATCATGATCCTTGGGAAATATTTCGCCGTTATTGGTGCACAGGTTGCGATACTTGGAACTAGGCCAGGTGCCCCAGGTGCCACAATTGCTGGCTGCATTGCCAATCTTATAAGTATACGAACCCTCCATATTGATAAAATCGTAATGGCAGGTCATAAAGTGACAAAAGCTGTTCCAGAATTTCAAATCAATGAGTACACGATTTGGGATATAAGATTAGAAATATATATATATATTGCATACTCATCTGTGTTATTCTTATCACAATTTGTGGCTATGGCAAAGGCGCAGCCCAGCCTAGAGACTCGATCATTCACCATCAGCGTAAAGTGGCCCACAAGGTGATGGCTAGAAAAGAAAAAGGAAATACAAATATTTGCTTAATCACGTTTGGCAGCTCACCTGTTAGAGTCGAAATCTTTGAGCAGATCAACGGGATCACGAACCGTTCTATATTCCTCGAACATGGGGAATAGCGCCAAGTCCAGCAACTCTTTGACTGAGAAACGTTTCTTTTTGGCAAGAACCATGCTCAGATTTTCACCGGCATGCGGAAAACGCACAACGGAACGGCATATCGTGTGCTTGAAGGACACCGTGGAGGCATGCACGCGCGCCATATACGCCAGCTCCAGATCCCAGATGAGCTCACGCATGCGTGAGGCAGCCGGAAAGGTTTCATTGCCATCCGTGACCAACTCGCCACCAGCCGCCATATTCCGATACTTATTGTGATAGTCTAAGATGAGCTTGCGGAATGGCAACGTGTCCGGAACGATAGCCAAAAATTTCGCCCTGTAAAAAAGTGGATGCTGCGCGCACAGAAAAATTACAATTAATTACAATTACAATTAGTATTTCCATGGAAAGTTCATAATAATTACCAGTTCAGAGTCCACATTGCATATAAAATGCCGCCTTTTGGCCATGTTGCACAAATGGCTCTCATTGCGGCAATAATTGTAGCCGCTGGCAAGCTGGAGCATGGCCAGCAACAGCTGCAACGACAGCAGCCTCATAAAAGTTGACAGAGAATTTTGGGAATATTTAAAACTTGAAAAACTGGAAAATCTATGAAAAGAAATACATTTTTTTTTGACGTTTCAATTACACAAAAAAGTATCAAAACTTCTGATACACAATGCAAAGATATTATGTTTTTTTCTTTTTGGTTTTTTTGTATAATTTTTTTCAGTTTTATTTTTCAAAAATTCAAAGTGTATTCTTTTTTTTTTTAATTTATTGCTGGGATTTTAGGAAGAGTTTTTTGCCTACAAATTCATTTATTTTGGTTTTAGTTTTTCTCATTTTTTTTTTTTTTTTGAATATGCATTATAAATTGTATGTAATTTGTTTTTAACTTCTTTTTTTTTTAGTTAGTATTTTAGAAAAGTTGAAAATCGAATTTTTTAACTCTTGATTGTTTTGGTTTTTGTTTTCTTTTCTTCATATATTTATTTAATTTTTTTTTTTTTTTTTTTTGTTTTTGCTAATATCAACTGATACAATTTGAACTACATATCTTCTATATGTCAGGGCGCAATAGATTAACAACAAATCAAATAAATCACAAAAAGGTACATTATTTTCCTCCCTTCCTTCATTTTTTAAAATCTTTTTTGCATAAAAAAATATTATTTACTTTGCTTAAGGTTTCATTTAACATTTTTGTTTAGCAACAATTAACAAACAAATCAAGTGCTTTTTATTTCTCACTTTTTCAGCGTTGGGCGTTGGGCGTGGCATGGTGGGCAAAAACTAAAGATTGTGTGGCACTATATAGAGGGTAAACTATATGTACGCATGTATAGTTGCTGTCTCTCACTCTTATTGCATAATCTTGATGTGTACTAAGGAGCTGCTAATAAAATATAAGTGGAAACATGTTCAGTACTACTTGTATTACCCATTGGTTTAGCTCGTTCAAGTTGAATTGATTATATTGTATGTAGTAAAGGTATTTACGAAAAGTTAGTCTAGCATACAATAAACATATGTATGTATATATTGTGTGTATATATATATACGCATAATAAATATACTTGGCTTTCCAATATATTTGTATATTTTTTTTTGTATTTTTGTTTGTAACTCGGTTTAATAAACTATTTACAGACGCACACTCGCAGGCACACACAACTATACAGTTATTACTTACATTATATAGTTAGTATTCATACATACATGCGACTTATATCAGGTGTAGGCACATCATTTGCAACAAAAACGCGACGCCCACAACAAATGGAAACATATCTACGAGCTAATTAAAGCATGTGTACACAAGTCTAATCGAAAACTTAAATTGTAATTCATAATATGAATAATATATTACTTATAATAGTTATGTATGTATTTTTGTATGTATGTTGTCTCGTATGTACATAATGCTAGGGATTGTGATTGAAATCGTAGATGCTATAAGACTAGAGAACTTTCTATAAACATGCACACAGTTTGTTGTAATGACGAATTCCGTATAAAAAATATATAAGTTCTATATGTGTAGTTGTATATATCCAAAACTCCTCTCATACTGTGTGTTTTCTCTTCTATCACTTGCGTGGTGTACAGTTTCTCATATTTCATGTAGTAAATATATACCTATTTCATATTGTAGCATGTGCAGGATTTAACATAGTCTAGACACAGGTGGAGGATGCGTGCGACACATTTGCCGCCGCCTCCAGATTAAAGTCCTTGCTGCGACAGCACATCTCGCAGATGCGCTTCGTGTCCGGATTCAGGAACGTACAGAAACGACAGCTCCATTCGTTCGGGCTGGTCACGATCAGTTGCGTCGACACCGGCGGCGGCTGCTTGGCAACGGCGCCCGTTGCGCTGCCGCGACTCCGTGCACCACCGCTGCCGCCGCCTGGTCTGTTGTCTATGGTGGCTGTCTTTAGAGCGGATTTCACCTTTTTCACACCCGGGCTGCTGCTGTTGAGCGCTGGCGCAGGTGGCGCCGCTTGCACAATGCGCGGCTCACGTTTCTTCTCCAGCGTGCGCGACTTTTCCACAGCGGCGGGCTGTGTGTGCGTCTCGGTGCCGCGCCGCTTATCTGCAGCTGCACCACCATTGGCCAGGTTAAGTGAATCCAGATCCAAGCTCTGCACCAGCAAATCCTCACGATCGCCCAGATCCTTGGAGTAGCCGGAACGCTCCAGATTCTTGAACACATAGTTCCAGGACTCGAAACTGCCAACGCCCTCCTGCACCTTGGGCATCAGCGGCGGCGATGCGCTGCTCAGCGCCGTAAAATCATCCAGACTGGCCGACTCATAGCTGGTGCCATCCGAGATGTTCAAGTCACGCTCCCGCATATGCTGGCGGCCATCAGCTGCACCGGCGTTCAGACTAATCCGTTCCCTCAATTCCTTGTGCGTCGTTTTCCGATTATTATCCAGGGGATCCTAGAAAGAAACGCAAGTTAGAATCAAATAGGCAATATGTTAATCTCTTCTGATCTTTTCAGCTTGCCACTTACCATCATTGGCTCTCGCTGCCTGTCCGTTGACTTGTCGCCCGTCTCGAGCTTGGCGCGAATGCGGCTGCTTTTAGGCACAGGCCGCGCATAGACATACATATCCTGCGGCGTCGGCTGCGGCAAGGTCGTTGGCAGCATGGCAGGCACATCGTAGCCGCCGGCATAGCCCATGGCCATGGCATCCCGGGGCTGGGCATACATGGAGCTGCTCATGCCATGCTTGGCCGTCTGAGCACGCTGGCCACGTCGTTCGTATTGACGCGGATCGTTGAAGTCATGCTGCATGAGCTGGGCTCGCTCATCGAAGTCAATTAGATGGTGATCTGGCGGATATGTGCTCTGCCTGTGCTGCATGGCGGCCAGTGCGGCGGCATTGTTGGGCTGATGCCGTGCTGTTGCGCCTAACTGGCCGCCATGGTAGCCACAGCTGTGGGGCACTGCTGTCGCCGGCCTGTTGCCTATGCTGGCATACATGTTCGCATTATTCTGCTCCACATGGCCGTAGCCATCCAGGGGCGTAGCATAGGGCGCATTTAGCTGACTGGAGATGTTGTAGGGCAGCGGATAGCGATTGCCGGGCGCATTGTAAGCGCCAGCTACAGCCGCATACGAGGCGCTGCTGCCCATGCTGAGGCCATCCAGGCAATCGTAGGGCGCCTCATACAAGTGTCCATGTGGATGCAGTGCCGCACAATCTTTGGGATGCTGATCGAATGAGTGTCGCTGTGGCAGCGCCGTATGCGGCTCCTGATAATGTTCCAGGCTGCGCGAGTGCGTCATCAGAGCGCCCTGCGGTTGCTGCTGCTGATACATGCAATTGAGATTCGTGGGCGGGGCGGTTTGATGGGCAGGCGCATGCAGCGCGCAGATATTGGCATTATTATTAGCAGGTCCGTGCAGCGCACAGGCAGGGGCTGGTGCAGACTTCTCCGCCGTACAGCTGTCATTGCTGCGATTGGGGGGCGCGATGTTGCTGTAGGTGTTCTCCGTTGCCAGTAGATGCTGCTGCTGCTGCTGTTGATGCTGCTCCTTGCGCAGCCGCAGCTCGTGCAGTCGATAGGCCAGCTCCTTGATGGACTGCGTTGTGCCGCCGACATGTCGTTCCCTATAATGGAATATATCCTGCCAGCTGCAGCTGAAGCCAGCGGCACTGAGGCCCGCATAGATGTGTTTCATAATTTGGCACTCGACATATGCGGCCATCGCATCGCGCGAGACATTCGTCACCTGGTCGGGGCAGATGGGTCCCTCCAGCACAAACGTATCCTCGCTAATGCGACGATAGCCCATGGCCAGAAACAGTCTTTCGGCATCGATCAGATTCGATTCAACGTTATGCTGATACGAACCGGAGTAGGTCTGCAAATATGAAACGAGATTAGTTTTCGGCATTTTTGGTGGATATTTTGTGTGAATACTTTAAGCGTGCGAAATTCCTTGCGCCAGGGCTTTGTAAATAAATTGTTGGCATACTGGCTGACGGCCTCGAAGCCAACGATGGCATTCTGTGCCGTAAAGTCGTTCAGCTCGCAAACAGTTCTGCGCAGGACATGCCCCGTTTCGGGCAAGAAGAATTTGCGATCGTGCGGCACCACGCACAGAAACTCTTTCAGGCAGCCTGGCAAAGAAAAAATTGGACAGCATTTAGCTAATGTTAATGAAATTATTTGATTATCTGGCACTCACATTCAAGCTTCTTGCGCTCCTCGAGCTTCTGCGGGCTCTCCTCGGTTTCCAGAAACGTCCAGTGGCATTGCAGTATCTCCTGCCAAAGATCTGGCAATAAATCGCAGGGTACAAAATCGGACATTGTGGCGTGGCGCGACAGCGTGTTGCAGCAACGCCAAGGACACTCATTCAATGCAACGGCCGCTCCTGCAAGGCAAAATCAGTGCGAAATATAAGTACACAGTAAAAGAAAAACAATAAAAATAGAAAGGAAACGATTTTTTTGTTTGGTGTATCGAATATTAAATACCCTAGTAAAAACTGAGTTTTCGTTCATTTTTCCTATGAAGCTTTAACTTGTTGAGAATTGCAAGGAATAAAAGAGAGTCGACCTTCTGAGCAGCGGACAATGTTTGTATACGTGATAGCAATAATTTTCAAATTAAGCGACAAGTTGGCTTTAAAACAAACAAATTATTGCTTATAAGCTCCATGGGAGAGTCCATGTCTACTTTGAGAAGTAACACACTTTGTTAGCAAACCAGAAAACCCTCCTTTGAAGGGTATAGAAATGAATTCAAGGCTGCATCTTTAAAACAAGACTTTTATTGATTTTCAAAGCAAATGCTCTTAACGGCTGACAATAACGAGCACATTGTGTGCGTGTGTGCTTTAGTTGGGCCCGAGCCCAATTCTGGGCCCATTCAAGTGGCCCAGTCTAAATGCAGAGTCTGCCCAAATGGCTGGCAACTTGGCATATGAATCACAAACGCCATCCGGCATGACGCACGCACGAGCTATCAGCACAAATATATAAAAGTACTATATACACACCACACATGTATATATATGCATATATAGCTATATTTATTTGACAACAACTATGTGCATGGACGCTGATAGAGTAAACAATGGCAACATGTTTGCTAGCTGTTGCCCGCCTTTGGCTATGGCAGCCGCCATCGATAATGACTGTTAGTTAATACTTATCAGAGCCCCTTCCGCCCGTCCGCCCATCTGACACCCGCACATGCCGCAAACCGGGCATGGGCATCAGCTGAGGAGCGGCATGTGCAATCTACGATTAGATTCGCTAACCGAAGCCAACCACAACAGCAACAACAACAACAACAACAACATCGACCACTTGGCATATCAATAAAGCGTCTGCTTAATTGTTATTCATATGTGATTATAGTATATATATATAGAGGTATATAAATTTATATCGAGCTATCAAGCTGCATTTCGCAATTGGGTTAGACTAGTGGATCATTGAATAAATTATTGTACGCCAAGCAAAATTAAGATTCATCCAAAGAACATATATATATATAATTATATTATAGTAAAGGCAAAAAGCGGTTTATACTGAGAAACTGTCTTGCTTACGAGCTATCAATGACTTCATAATTAAAATCAGTTTGCTTCGAAAAGCTATTAAGATGATTCAATCGTTTTTTTTTACTCATTATTGTAGGGGATTTCCCCCTTAAATACTCTGTAATTTTGCGATTTCCTACACTATAAAAGGTCAATTAGCAATTGTCTATCGAAATATGTAGATAGGACATACAAACATATATATTTGTGAATGAGAAAAAGCTTATTGAGCACCATTAGGAGGAGATATATCCCGTTCGGCGGTTGAAAATGTGAATACTGAGATTATTGTCTTATCTACGAGCTATCAATTATTTCTTAATTATTTGCTTCGAAATGCTATTAAAATGATTCAATCGTTTATTTGTATTTCCCCCTTAAAAACTCTTTAATTCTGCGATTTACAACACTATCGATAAACAATAGTCTATCGATCTATCGAATTATATATATTTCTGAATAAAATAAAGCATATTGAGCACCATAAGGAGCTGGTATAAACTAATGTTTCCCAACTACCAGTCTGGCGTAGCAGTAGCAATAGAGAACGAAATAAATAATTTGTATTCCAGGGTATTTGCATGCGTTATCATCCAGTGCATAAATCGTGGCACTTTGCACAGCTGCTAACTGTTTTAAAAGTTTATTAGTCACTCGGTAACTAGATTGCACAAACGATCTGCATATTTTATTAGCAAATCAGCAGCTGGCTTGGTGGCCATTTGTCTGGGCTGGCTCATAAAGCTGGCGCTGCAGTTGCACGGCGACAAATTCAATTTAAAGTGCGGGTCAGGGTTGAAGGGGGCGCACTTTGTGCCATGAAGGGGAGGGGAGGGGCAGAGTGCCATGAGCTTAGAAACCTACTGAAATCTTATTAGCCTTGGCAGCTGTCCTGCTGCAAAGGGGTTTTTTTTATGACAGTGGCGCAGAAGCTGATTTTGTAAAGGCGACAAACAGTGGGCGTGGCAGCAGTGCTGGGCAATTTTTAATTAGATGAAGCCACAAAGTTGGAGTTGGAAAGTGGAAAACACAGCGATTGCTAGCTGAAATGCATGTCAAAGTTGGCTGCACATTTAATAAGCAGCTGAAGAGAAAAGAAAAAACAATTCCAACTTTGAATTTGTATATTTTACGAGGCCACGCAAAGTGCAGGGGAACGGCGGGAGGCCCGGGTAAAGCAACCAACGCTTGCAACATGAAACGTGAGATGGGTAAAAAGCAAACAAAAACAAACTAAAAGCTGTAGAAAGTAAACGGTTCAAGAGTTGACGTGTAAGAGCGAGAGAGAGCACACAACAAATCTAAAAAGGTGTAAAGCACACACACAACAGCAGCTAACAGCAACTGCAGAAGCAAAGCAGAAAGAAGAAAACAAAAGCCTTTGAAGTTTACACTCTAAAGCCAAGTGAATGCCGCTCAAAACAACAATAATAAAGAGTGCAGACTGCAGCAATGCTGAACAACGCAGCTAAAAATCAATAAAAACTAAATGAAGTGCAAAACACGCACAATAACAAAAACACAAAGTCACACACACACACAGAGAGAGAGAGAGAGAGAGAGAGAGAGAGAAAGACAAATAACGGCCTGATCAGCAAGCAAGCTTTTAAGTCTCTCTTAGCCTGAGCATGTGCGTAAATATGGACACTACACGTCGTATACTTATTAGCGTGGGAGTGAGAGAGGCAAGCACCTAACCCAAGCATTAACTGCGCCGTTAGCTGTAAGCAACGATGCAATGTTGTTGTTGTTGTTGTTGTTCTTGTTGTTGTTGAGCTCACATGCTCACGCAAATGGATGTTAATCAACAGCCCGAATTGACATTGACGACATTCAGAGCGCTAATTGTGCTGTTTTAAGTAAATTTGTACAAATACCTATTGAAATAACACAGCACTTTAGAGCACAGAAATAATTGGACCTTTATTGATTTTGACAATTTGACCTCAGCACGCTGCGCGTGTGTGTGTATGTGTGTGTGTGTGTGTGTGCGTGTGTTTACTTATATTTTAAAGTATTTTTCAATCTTGCTGTTGGGCACTTGGCGCAACAGTTTAAAGCACTTTTCTTGGCAAGGTGACAAAAAGTGTGTGTGTCTGTGTGTGTTCCTGCGTATTTATGCATGTCTGTGTGCGTGTGTGACCCGTTAGTTCGTTGCCGGCATACGGCAGGGTGTTCCAATTCTTATTTTCAGCCCAGCACATGCATTACTAAATTTAGCAAAACCCACACACACACATACACACACACAACACACAGAGAAAAGCATCGCAGAAAAGCTTATGCATAAACACCAAAAAAAGACTAAAAACAGGAAATAAACTTACAGAGATTCCTCATCGTTGCTTTTGTTCTTTTTGTTATTGCTTTGCTTATTAATTCTGTGCATCTGCATCGCTGTTTAAGTCAAACACACACACTGTTCAGTAAGGTTTCCGAATTAAATGCGTTTTTGTATTATTCTTTTTTTTTGCGTGGGTGGTTAAAATTCTATTTTTAGCACACGACAGTAGCAAACCAAAACGACGTGCGAAACGAGCTGAACAGCGAATGAACAGTGGAATGCTTCCGCTTGTTGTTATTGTTTTAACAGCAGCTGCACACTTATCGATAGCGTTTGCCTGGTAATAGCTACCAGCAGCCGCAGCAGCCGTACATTTTTCAACTGGCTTTTGCAACTATTGCCTATGCATTGCAGTGACGCACTTGATATTAATTTTAATTTCACTTTGTAACACGCACCTTTTCCAATTATTATTATTATGCGCTGCGTTGTGGTCGTGTCATTTTCACAGCAAACTAAACTTGGCTACTTAAGAGCACTGATTTTTTGCATGCTTACAACACTAGCACTATCGATTGACGTGAAGACTAACCTATCGATATTCGCTGACCAGGGCTGGTTTGACAACACGCGCTCTAGCAAAAGGTAAACACGCGATGGATGTGGATTTGGGTTTTGCAGAGCAGCCAAATAATGCGGCTTGGCTAAGTAATCGCTACTTTCCCAGCAAACTGGGCGGCCAGCCGGCCTGGCTTGAATTGGAATCGCTGCCAAGCACATCTCAGCTGCAGTGTAAGCAGTGTCACGCACAAAAAGCCTTTCTCTGTCAGCTGTATGCCGCGTATGAGGACGAGTTCAATTTCCATCGCAGCATTTATGTGTTTGTGTGCCGGAATGGCGACTGTCAGCAGGTCAACAAGGCGGAGTGAGTGGCAAAACAAGTGTTAATATATGTATATATGTAAAGATAAACAATATTATTTTTCGCTTACCAGAAACTTCACCGTGCTGCGTTCGCAGCTGCCGCTGAAAAACAAATTCTACTCGGAGCAGGAACCCTCGGAGCATGGCGAGCCTCTGGTATGTGTTGTTTGCTTCTAAAGGGACTTACCCAAACTTATTGTTTCTATACACGTAGCCTGCCATAGCTAGTCTGAAGAAACTGTGCGCGGCCTGCGGCTGCTTGGCGCCGCATGCCTGCAGCCGCTGCAAGGACATCAACTATTGCTGTGCCGCACACCAACGTGCACATTGGCAGCAGCACAAGCCGCACTGTGGCGGCGGAAGCCTGCCAGAAGCTGCCAATAAGCCCCTGCCAGCGATTGAGTTTCCTGTCTACGAAATAGTCATGGAGCGGGAACCAACAAGCGATGTGGCTGCAGCAGCTGAGAAGGACGAGCAGGCATGTCTTGCAGAGTATGAGCAGCTCTCCGCCAGCGGCAAAACGGGCGAGCTAAGCGACGTTCCCGAGAAGGAGCTGGACAAATACTTTGGCAGTTCATCGGCAGCCGAGGATAAAGCCTTTCAAAAATTCAAGCAGCAAATTGCAGCTGAACCCGAGCAAATTGTGCGCTACAAACGACAAGGTGAGCCGCTGTGGATAGCAAATGTCGCGGATACGATTGAAGATCAGCTGCAAGCGCTACCCAACTGTGCCCAGTGCGGCGGTCCACGGCAGTTTGAGTTCCAGATAATGCCACAAATGCTGGTGCTGCTCAAGGACGAAACACTAGACTGGGGCGTGCTGGCGGTATACACGTGTGCGCGCAGTTGTCAAATAAGCGGCTACGTGGAGGAGTATTTGATCAAGCAGGACATTGTGGGATCAGCTGCTGCAGAATTGTCTTAAGCACAAGCTGGTCGGTTTACAGTCTCTGCTGTATGAATACAAACCAATTTTATTTGTTACGGGACGAAACAAAATGTAAAAGAATGATCTAAAACAATAATGATTAGAGAGAGAGGAGCGATATGAACACGAACTTGGAAGCTACTTCAGTTTGATAATGGGAAAATAGCTATGCCTGCTAAAATCAAATTCCGGCTGACGCTTCACTTCCTTCTGGTGGCCACGGGCGAGCACATTCATCACCACAAAGTTGGTGCGCGCTATTTGCAGCAGGTCCAGAATCTAGAAGAGAAAACCCAATTAGTTATATTTAATAGTGGTTAATCTTTTTCAAGCCTACCTCCTGCTCGGGATTCTGTATACTTTCGAGCACATTGCGCGCCTGATCGAAATGCTTGGCCGCATAGCTGTACAGCTCCTCGACACTGTTGAGCATCATGTGATCGCGTATATTTTTAAACTCAGCATAGGACACTGGCGGCGGGCTGGTGAGGGGCACAAATGGCGCGAAGCGTCGATTGTAGCGTATTTCCTCATTGTCGAACTTGGACATGGGCAGACGCACGCGTCCATCTTTGGTTAGAGCACCCATGGCCTTGTACATGCCGCCGCACAGGCTGAGCAGGGCATGGTAGTAGACGATCTCCTGGCGATAGGGACGCTGCTGTTTCTTATTCTTCTTGGGCTTGGCGGCCTTGCGATTCTTGCCGCCAGAACCGCTGCCACCGCCATTCAATTGAATTTTGCTCTGATGATCAGCATATTCCTCTTGCGCCAGCAATATATTCTCCGTACGCGTCAGCGCTGATACCAGGAAACCCACTAGGAACTCATAGGGATACCAATAGATATACAGAAACTCGTGCACAGCATACAGCTCCAGCTCAAAGCCAGACATCAGATAGATGAGCATCGCACGAAAGCAATTATACAACACCCACGTGGAAAAGTGGGTGCTGTGCTTCAGCGCCGTCGCATGCGACTCATTGCCCTCCATGGCGCGCTCATTGGCCAGCTGATTCATCAGCGAATCCAGACGTGCCGCATCCACCTGCAGCGGATCGAAATTCTCAATTAGATGCGCCAGCTTATCGCGCTGCCGTGCACGATTGAAGCCGCACAAGCGTATGAACTGATTGAAGGTGTTCATGTTGATGCAATAGCGAAAGAAGGTTTCCAGATGCTGCTGCACCTTGGGATCACTGGCAACCGGATGCTTGGGATTGAGCACGGGCGGTGAATTAAAAGCCTGCACCGAATGTCGTAAAAATTGCTTCATCGATTGTTTGCCATGTGCTAAGCGTATACTCGAGCTGAACAGGCTCTGGAGCACGCTGCGCGAGAGGATGCAGTGTCCCGATTTGCGGCTGTACTCGATGAAGAAGTTCTAAAAGAAAAGCATATATATTAATTATATAGACTGCATATTTACTCAGCTTATGACATACCAGCGCGGAGTAATAGTCCTTGTGGCGTATCACCTTGCAGGCGTACTTGAAACGCGCCACCATCTCCTCCAGAAATTGATAGCTGGCGGGCCGTTCGCGTATCTTGATGCTGCGCGGAAATGTGGGTGGCTGGCTTCTGTCATGTATGCGCGGAGAGAAACCCATGGGATTAGGCGCCTCGGCTGTTGTGTTCAAAGATTTGTTAACCTATTTCCGGCATTATATAATTCGCATACTTACAACCCTCAACGGGCTGGGTGCCACGTTCAATGGTGCGTTTAATGAGCGGCAGTAGCTCGGACGCCACATTGAGACTCTTGTAAATCTCATTGACCGCCTCCTCGGCGCTCTCAGCACCCACCATTAGCTCCACTTGGTAAATGGCTTGGAATAGGTGGCGCATAAAGCGCAAACGATGTACCACAGCCATGAGATTTTGATTTTCAGCCGGCGGCAGCTGTTTGCACTTGCGCACCAGCTCATCCTCCACCTCTTTCAATAGTCCGGCAATGCTTGTGGGCTGAGCCTTTTCCGCTGCCAGCAGCGCCGAATTGCCATACAATTGAAAATCCTCTTCCTCGTTGACAGCAGCCAGTATGATGATATTTTTAATGACCACAATCAGATTGCGCACCGCGGTGCAGAAGACGCGCAGCGCCTTGTCCTGTATCTGTGATGGTGCATGCAGATAGAGGCAGGTGAATAACACTTGATCCATGGAATTGCCTTCCAGCCAGGAGACCAAACATGCAAACAGCGCATCAAAGATGCCAATAAGCTCCGCCGGCTCCAGGCCATCCAGCTTGATGGCGCCCATCTGTAATGCAAGCAGTGCATGAGGAGTTACTGATTCCAGCAAAGGCAATTGCAACTTACCGCAACGGCCGCCTCGAAAGAGGGCGGCGGCAAATCGAACTTATCAAAGCCCATGCCCACATCCATTTTGGGATCCATTATCTCTATCGCAGACATAGCCTCAAACAAGCCAAACAGCATATCCTGCGCCAGTTCGCCGGGCAGCAGCTCAGCGCAGGCATCGTGAAACTCCTTGGTCACATCCACCCAGCCGTGTATGGGGTATTGTGTAATGTCTTCGGCGGCGCTGCCGCCGCGTATTGCACGCTGTACATCGTTGTCCGCAAAACCGCATTCGCTCATACTCCACTCGTCCGGCTCATTGCTGTTGCTTTCCCGCTCCAAATCCCTCTGCTCAGCTGTAGTTCTTACCGCAGACACCGAAACTGAGGCTGCTGCTGCCGCCGCCGCTGCTGCTGCTGCTGCTGCTGCGGCGGTGGCTGCCTGAAAATCCGTTGGCTGCTCGCTTGTGTAGGTTCCGTGCATTATCCTTAATCGACCAGCTACTTGGCAAGTAGTTGCTTTTGTCAATTGTTATTACTTTTTGTGTTATTTTTTGTGTAATTCGATTTTTTGTCGTTCTTGACATGCATCTAAGATTTTGAGCAGTGTTGGTGAATACAGCGTAGAGTGCACAACACTTACCAAACGTATTTGACAACACTGTGTTTGCGTGGCGCCAAACACGTTACAAATTGAATTCATATATAAAATTAAACAAATCAGTTGAAAACTATTTGAAAGCTGGCTTTATAATATTTTTTTGTTTAATATAATATTAACTTCTGATTATTACTCTAGGTAAAGATAAAATAAATTGTATAATCTTCAATCTTGTTATCTTGTCATATTCTACTGTTCTGCTGTGCTTTGAGTGAAGGGTATTGTAAAGCCAGCAGCATTTTGGCAGTTAAGCCTGTATGTTCATTAAGCTAAGTAAATGAATGAATTGTAAATGCAGCAATTTTATAGACCAGACACGTTTCGTTTTCTTATGTTTATGCTGACTATATAATATATGAGTAATTTGGCTGACTGGTTAACAATTTTGCTCCGCTATTTCATATGATAAGAACTGTTATCGCAATAAGTCTGTATTTACTCAAATACCATATATGAACAACAACTGTTTCTGTGCAAAGTACTCATTTCGGCTGGCAGCAACAACACTTTGGCCTTATCAACAGCCCGCAACTGTTATCGGTCGCGCTCCAATTTGAGTGGAAAAGTGGAAAAGCTCGCTCAGCTCTTACACACGCTTTCGCTCTGCGCGTCGCGTCGCGTCGCGTAGCCTCGCCTCGCCTTGCCCAGCGTTAGGTTCGCATTCAGAGCCGGAGCGCTTTGTTGTTGTCTCCTCCATCGCACTTTTTGGGGGTTGTCCGTGTTCTGGCTCGCCGTTTGAGTGCTTCAAATGCCCAAATAACGGCACAATTGAGTGGCGCAAAAGCATTTCACCAATGCGAGGGGTTGTATCAGTTTGTTTACAACAATTCGGTTTCAGTATCAAATGCGTTGCCCTCGTGGTCAATACGCGCGCTAACGGTCAACCGCTAAAATAATCAACTATATAAAAAAAAACACACAAACATCAGGGCGCCCAGATTTAAAAGAACACACGACACGCCGCAAAAATTTTGATTGGTCGAGCCAAAAAAAAAAAAAAAAAAAATCAAATACAAAATACGAAGTGTTAGTTCATCAACAGCTGCGTCAATTTCTTGAGCAAGGAGCCAGCCCCATTCATTAGCCAATTCCAACGCGTAAGTTTGCCTGACCCAACGTGATTTAATTTTTTTTTTTAATTTATGTATATAGCTCATAAGGGTAATGTTCCATTTGTTTTCCCGCCCGGTTCTATGTGTTTCACAATAAGATTTGCCGCCAAGTGCTATATAAAAAATCGAATATGTCTTGAAAGAACAACAAGGTTTTTGTTTGTGGACCACAACTTGATTAAATGCCGCAAATACATTAATATATAAATACAAACACAATGGCGGAACCAGAAATTACGAGTCTTTTTGGCAAGCGACCAAATCAAATTATAAAAAAAAAAAAAATTGTCTGACCCTATAAATACTATATGTACTACGTCTGTGGCCGAAACAAATATTTTCCTAAGCATTTGCCGACCATTAAATATATGTTTTAAATATTTTTATAGTTTTATAGCATGCCAACGCGCAAAACCCCCAAAAAAAAAAAAAAAACAGAAAAAAAAATAGAACATCTCAAAAGATGAGCAAGGTTTTATTTTTAGGCCTGACTCGAGCTTTTCATAATGTACAAATTAACCCAAATACTTGGCAATGTTTGAAGACGCATTTGGCTTAAAGAATAACTTAAAAGTAGTTGAAGGAAATGCGCACATATTTTTACTATGTACAAGTTCGATTCGCAAGTGGGTCGTGGTTATCTAATGAAAATTATGAAACTACTTAATCTTAACTGTCTTAGTGTTAAATATTGGTCTAAAGCTTGTTTGAGATAAAGCCTTTCTACGCGATTCTCATGCTGCTTGCAGTTACTCTGTAGCCTTAACGATTTTCTTGTACTAACTATGTATACCAATTGATAAGAATTTATTTGGCCTCGCGCTTCGTGTATTTATTGATAACCACATGAAATACAGCTATTTATGGAGTGCTATCAATGGGTAATTCAAAGGGAGTCTAGAGTTCGCACAGCGATAAGCAGTCGAAAGAACTGATTTCAGTTTTCAATTTTCAAATTGAATAGCTAAGCCGAGAGCGGGTGCAGGGCTGGGCCGGGCTGGGCAGGTCGTGACAATTGACCAAATTATGAAAGTAAGGCACGCAAACATTCGATTTGCCAGGACCCACAGGACCACAGGACACCACACATAAAATGTACGACTACAAAATGCTGCAACAAAACCGACAAATGTATAAAAAAAAAAATGAAAGAAACACCACACAATGGGAAATCTGCACGTACGCGGTAAAAGCCATGAAAATCAAAGTCATGCAGACAACACACAAAGGAAAACGTAGGAAAAACTGAAATCAGAGCAAAAACTTACAAGGCACACACACACATGGAATTTACTTCAATTGATTTGCCGTGGATGGGAAGAGGGAAAAAAATAAATTCCAGTTGCCTAAGTCCCTTATTGAAGTCCAAGTCCAGTTGGCCCGACTTCGTCTTGACTTGTATTAAAGTTGCGTATACGCCCTCGATTCCCAACCAATTTCGCTCCGTCCCGCTCCCCTGCCCCTGCCCCTGCCCTTTGGCCTTGCGGTCCAAAGCATTTTTCTCACATTTTTTGTATCGATTTGATTGGATTTCATGTTACGAGTTTGTTGTGTTTAACACGCTTCAATAAAGTTGGCCGACCCAAACAAGTCGAATGCCTGAGCTTAATACGCCGCCGCCCCCCTTTTCTCGCCCTCCTTGGCTCTGTGCGGTCCACTTAATTGAATTCAAATCAACGACAGATGGGCAGGTGGGGTGTGTGTAAAGGTTGTGTACGTGTGTGGGTCAAATTAAATGTTGGCAGGACAATTGGCCAATAAAATTAGTTCGGGTCGAAGGACTAGACCATTATTCGTTGAACTTGAGAATTTTTAAAGAAATCTAACTTGAGGTAAATATAAAAATAGAACACCTCCTTCTCCTCCTCCTATAACTTCTAATAAGACACTCTCCAAAAAATAGTTACTAAAATTATTTAAGATAATTGAACATAATTGAAGAATAAACAAATTTGAAAAGAAATATAAAACTGTAAATTTTTTATATAAGATGTCGTTAAATAGAAAGATATATATATATATATAGAGAGAGAGACAGATATAGAGAAAGAGAGAGAGAGATCAGGAAAGAGAAGTAAGATTGAAAAGAAAGCTAGCTAAAAACTTAACCCTTTTAAATAAAACGCCTTTGAGACAGAGCCTCTCTACGCAAATCTCATGATGTTAAGCTAAGCTTTAATATAGAGAGAAATTACTGGCAATTGCCATTATAATACATAATTCATTAAAACCTTCTCAAAAGTCCAGTGCCAGCATAAAAAACCTTTTGTGAAAGAAATTAATGGATTTCGTCGAATTTAAAGGAAAATGTTAGTTCCAATGCGCTTTTGCAGCTCTTTGACTAAACGCAAATGAATGTAAAAAGTTTTTGCATAGAATTCACAGCTGCCGTTGCCCAGATCCCGGAGGTCTGTGTGAAATATGAGCGCACTCGGCAAATGGCAGCAGCAGAATGGAAAAATCATTTTTCATGCAATTAAATAAACGAGTCGGAATATTATGCTGGATCGTATTTGGCCACATAACAAATGAGCAAGGGGTTCAGATGGGGATTTATTATGTTTCCCATTTGCGAGTCGTAACAATTAATGAGACTCAAAGTAAAAGCTGTTTAATTCAATTGCCAAGCGGCTTTTGGCACAAACCAATTAAGCTAAAACGTTTGCCAGTTCATGAATGATGCTTCGATAAACAAAGGCGACGTTGAGGCAAGGAGCAGCAGCATTCAAAGGACCTGCCTGCTCTCATCTTGATAGAAACATAACAATGACAATAAAAACACATTAAAATCAATCTGTCAACAAAGACAAGCAGCTCTCCTGTCAAGAGGCCAGCCCCAGAGGCAGAAGGGGGCGCGCCTCAAAAGTCAGCTCCCCAGCGAACAGACTACGCGCAAGGCTCGAGTTGTGTCATTGAATTTTCAAGTGCTTAAATGGAAAACATACTTTGCATATTGTAACAAGTCGAGGACTGGCTCAGTCTATACAGATGCCATTATCATTAGCACAGCGTCAAAGGGAAACAGCATGCCGGATCTCATTTTATTACAAGAGGAAAAGCAAACAGCAAAATGGCGCCAACATTGTGTCAGCCAAAATCGCAGAGAGGGGCGCGAAACGGTGAAACGGTGGTTCGAGCCCCGAGGCAGCTTGTTGCTACTGCACTCCAGCCAAGCGGCAAACACAATGACAATCATAACGATGACGATGACGATGAAGAAGAAGAAGAAGATGATGATGATGATGATGATGACGATAATGGTGATGATGATGTTGATGATGATGTTGTGTTGTGCGCCAGCTGCCTGGCTGGCTTCCTGCCAACAATTTAGCTGCTGTCTGTTTGCTTTTCAGCTAGAAGAGGAGCCGAGAGGCGAGTGCGGCAAACTGGGCGTATGCGTATTGTTCTGTTGCTGCTGCCGCATCCGTGCGAGGCTTGAGCGCGGCTGGAGGGTGGGAGGGCTGCCAGATTAGCTGACTGTGAGGAAAAGCAACAACAACAACGACAGATTTCTGTGCTGCATGGTGGCATATGTAAAGAATTATCTTGCATTTTGCAGCATTTCATTTTAATTGAGCTTTAAGCTCTCGCATTGCCACTGCCACATCCACATGCATTTCCATTCCCATTTGGCACTTCCCGCTTCCTACTTCCCCGCGCCGCATCCAGTTCCGGCTTTTTTGTATCGTTTCATTCGCATTTTAAGCCGACAGCTCGCGTAATCCATGTCCCAGTGCACTGCACTAAATGCAAATGCGACAATGAATATATATCATTGGAGATGGAGATTCGCACAATATGCTGGCAATTTATGCATTTCGCTTTAACGACTGACAGCCAAATTACATTGTTGTTAAATGTGCCTGATGATATTTATATTTATAGAGTTATCTCTCGGTGCGTTACAAATTGAGATGATCCAATAAGTTTAAGCTGGCAATGCACGAATTTAAAATGCATTTCAAATGTGACAAGCGAAGCCAAACGGGGTATACAATGGGTATATTGTTTCCATCGGGATATAGGTTTATAGATTATTGGAGAAACTTCTAGGAATTTCTCTGAAAAGCTGCGAAATCTGTAGCTACTTAAAGTATTAATTATTTAACATAGTTGACATGACATATTATAGGCTTTTTTGTGGTTAAATCTAAGCTTCAGTTATTTTTAGTGTTGTAAAACATCTTATGAAGAAAATTTAACTGAAACTTGGCTTGTAAAGAAATTGAGAACTTCTGGGAATGACAAAAACACCTGCTAATTAAAAATGGCTCATTGTGAACACATACTTAAACTCGCTTACTCGAATGGCTTTAGTTTTCATTTCAATAATTAACAATAAAAATATATAATATATAAAATATATACTTACATAAATATAAAAATCTGCTGTAAGATTTTTTATATTTCAAATACGAAGAAACGTTATCAAATTTACAGAGTTTTGCGTTTTACTTCTGCAAAATACCAAAAAAAAAAAACATAAGAGAAAAAATGATTGATTTATTAGAAGCCATCCATCTACTGTAATTACTTTAATTAAGACTTATTTTGGAGTTTGATTACAGTGTTATAAAACACATTTATATAAGCCAGATTTTTTGTCTTAATGGTTTCTCAAACACTGAGGGAATTGATTTTTTTTTAAATTGTAAATGTAGCAATTATAAATAATTATCGATTTCTACTTTACAATGTTTTTTGAATTTGAATACAGAGTTCAAAACACAATGAAAACAGTCTCGCACTAAAACTCTTTTTTGAATGAATGATACATGTGAGGAACTTGAAAGGCTATACCTCTCCAAAATACCATAGAAAATATACGAAATGTAAATAACGAGTGATTTCTTGGAAGCCAGCTATTTAATGCAATTACTTTAGTTAAGAATTATGTTGGATCTTCGACTTCGATTCGAGACAGTGTTCGAAAACACACTAAAGTGAACACTTTGAAGAACTAGAATGGTTCGCCTCGAAACTGT